CTCCTTGCTCCCGCGACCTCGCCCACAGGAAGCCGCGACTGCGTGGCAGCAGGGAAAATGGCCGCGGATCTGGTTCATAAGTAGAGGCAAGTTCGTAACCCGAGGTACCACTGTATTTTGTTCTGCATTAGGAATCAGATTGGGTTCAGGAATCTCCTGACTTGGCCTGGCAGAGAAAACGGTCCCTTTTTCACAAATGGGTTTGAAACAATTATTCTCTCCCCCCCCCCCCCCGCCCCCGATAACCTGAATGATTGCGGTGCATTACGTGTGGGGCTGGGCTTTAAAAATGGCCTGAAAGTTTCCCTTAATGGAAAAGAGAGCTGCTGGATTGTGAACGGGGAATGGCTGAGATGAAGTATGTTTGTTTCACCACCAAATCGGAAGGGCTAGCTTTTACCTATAATGCAGGAATTATGCTGCCGCAGGTCAGAACAGAAGTGGGAAGGGGTGTTGCAGGTTTTTAAAAGCCTCATTCGGCTTGCACGGTCCAAGCGGGAACACTGTCATTCCAGGTTTCAGTTGTGGCAGTTTGGGACAGACTGCAGAGTTTGAGATCTCCTGGTTACAATGCCGTTACTAAAACTAAGCTGTATATTCATTTCTTGCCCATCCCTAACCTCAGTGAAATGGTCGGTTTGATTCATGAGAGCCACACAAGTTCATTTAGCATTTTAAGGGGTCTTGCAAAATGTTTTTAATTTTTTTTTTTTAAATCTCTGCTATGAGGCCTAAACTCTCTGAGTTTTAGGAATATCCCAAAAGCTTCACTTGAGGTCCTCCTCCAGATCCTCCATCCAATAGAGGTGACTGTCATACGGAAGAAAGGGCCATCTTGGTTGGAACATCTCAGCTACAGATTATGTGTCCCAAAGAGCCTCACCTGGTTCTTATGCTTTCGGGCTGTTTGACATCCAGTAAACTATTTTATTTTCTCAGGAACTGTACAAGACGTTTCGTGTTCCAGAACTTTACGAATTTGTTACTGCTTTATTCTTGTGATTTTTCAGTCTATTTTCGGCCATTAGTGCGGTAGCTCTTGATTTTTATTTTGTCCAGATGGCTAATTCTACTGTTGGCTTTATATTGTTTTTCCTTGTTCAGTTTCCTGAACTGATTTTATATATAGTCTGGAGAACAGCTGGTTGAACAGTATTCATTGACTGTAGAGATCCCTAAATAACTGATAGTTCAGTCTCTATTTACCAGTCAATCTTTTGAAATTAATCAACTTTTTGTGTTCTTTTTACAGGATCAACCTCTGAACCCTTACAAAGGCTTTGAAGCTCAGGTGAGTATTTGATTTGCATATTGTAAAAAAAGAAAAAATGTTGTTCAGATGGCAGGATGTTTTGGTGAAGACTTTCCTCACATTTGCAAAATGTATGTTTTGTCAAAACTGAGGATCCCATCTCCACCATGGATGGAAAGCCACCCATTTCTACTCTGCCGCTTCTCCTCGCCCTGGCAGATGGTGCATCAGAAAGACGGTGCTCGTCTGCCTTTCGCAGGCTTTCTCTGAAAACCTTTTTAGTTTTTTAAGAGCATGGGATATCATGATGGATGCTGACAAGATCGCAATGTTGGAGAAAGTTTGAAAAGTCACCAATAGACGGCTTTAATCTATAGCTCCATGACATTCATTTTCCTTCCTGTTATTAGGGTCCCAGGATGCTACAAAGGTAATCACTTCCCTAGCATTCATGATATCAAAGAAATCAAGTAATTTTTCCAGCAGTTAGATTTCTCAAAATATTGCTTATCCTACAATTTTAGTTGGGCTGATCGGTCATAAAGCGCTCCTTTGTCTTTCTAAGGCCCTGAATATGGTAGTCGGGGCCAAAACCCAACTCCTAATTTCTCCATAAGTAATCTTCCTTTACAAAAGAAGTACCTGCTTTTCTACCTTATTTTGACTTTAGAATATCTCCAAGTTACTCTTTTGACCTTTCAGTGTTACGGATCTCCATCACCTTGAAGCCTCCATGGTGACCCTAAGAATATCCCACAGGAGGTATCGTGATGCTTTCCCATTGGATCGAATAGAATGGGTTTCAGTGGAGGCACGGGAAGTTGATTTTACGGCAAAAGACGACACGTGTGCACTCATACACAAACACAGAGGGCTTTAGAGTGTGACATTCTTCAACTTTCTCTGCTATACATCTCACCATCATCGTGCAATCACTCTGTTGCCCACACATCGGGGCCTGACAAAAATTCTACGAGAGAAAGTGACAGCTTCTCTTGGGATTTAATTAAGGTGGGAGAGAGCTCTCCAGATCTCTGGGAAGAAAAAATAATTCCACAATGAAATATACAGTGTTGAGACATGTTTCTCCCTGTACCTTAGAAGTAGAGAATTGCAAGAATTTCACACCAAACCCATAAAGGTTGCACCAAATGTTTCTTTCCCTGGGTAGGTACTAAAATTCAAAAGCAATTTCCTGGCCATCACAGTGAAAGAGAATGATTAAAACAAAAAAACCATGTGGAAATGCTTAGCGTTAGTGGAAATTAGTGAGTTCCTTCACAACTGTGGTCTTTCCATCTGGGAAGCAAACCGCATGCTTTGTGAAGTGTCTCTTGTTCATATGATTATATGGTCATTAGTGATGACTGCAAGCTGGGATCATGGGTGGAAGCCAAGGGCCTCTGTTCCCCTTCAGAAGTATCTAGGTAGAAGTAGAAGATGTGCATGTAAAAACGACAACAATACTTTAAAAGACCCGAACTGTCAAGCTGAAAGCCTGCAGTTTCCCATTTATCTATCAAGGGTGTATAAAAATCACGGCTCTGCCCCACTAACTTGTCCCCTTTGATCCAGAAGGTGTCCACCTTGTACATAAAGAATTTGGAGGACTGGTAGCCCTTTCTCTGACTAACAAATGTTATGAAAAGGCATCAGCTTGCTCACAAAAGCTAATATGCTACCAGATTTTTCATTACTATAGACCAGTGTTTCTCAACCTCAGCAAGTTTAAGATGTATGGACTTCAACTCCCAGAATTCCCCCAGCCAGCATGAATGCAGAATTCTGGGAGTTGAAGTCCATACATCTTAAACTTGCTGAGGTTGAGAAACACTTTCATAGACTAACGTGGCTTTCCTATACAGCCTGTACTTCCTTGCTAAGTGTGCTCCTCATCAAGTCAATCAGCCAATAAACTCGCTGACACTTTGGGGAGGAGATTTGTATTTTCCACATGCTGAATAAACTGCTCGCAAACTCCCCAATTCTGAATGAAGACACGAGTTTAGGTTCCGATGAGAGCGAGGGATGAAGCTGAATGGGGATCATTCCGCCTTCATTTGGCTGTTTGGTTTCAAGGGGACGGGGTTGCAATAGAGCAAGGAACCAGAAATGGCATTTTATATATTCATTTTTATAGCTTGCAGCTTGGAGGCTTAATCAGAGCAACCTTGGCATTGAGATGGGACATATGTCCCATTTTTATAGACCTCCTTTCTCTTTTTATGGTTGGGCTGAGGTCGATTTACACCGGTTCAGGCAAATGCAACAGTCATGTCAAATTCAATGGCAAAAAAAAGAACAATTCTCTGCTAATAGCCCAATACGTAGAACAAAGCAGCCAGGCGTCTGTAATTAAGTAATAATCAACAACTTTCAGGAGGCTGAGTCATGAAGACCGATTAAAATGGTTCATTGAAAGGTAATTCATAATAGCAAGGTTGCAGCCTGTAATTATTCCAAGAATGGGGGAGTTCTTGTGATGCTGGAAGCCAGGTTTTCCAAGGATGTTGGCTTCCAGTGAACAAGCCAGCTCATTGCTGCAGATTTCTCAGGTTTCTCCAATGATTCTGCTCGCCACCTAATTCCTGTGGAATTCTTTGGCTTCTTTCATTTGAATTAGTCAGAAAAAGAGATGGGACAAGACAAAAACTCACGTCTTCCAACTTCGTCTTGCTAGAATGAAGTAATTTTGAGAGTTCCTGGTTTAAATCTCATGATACATTACTGAAGGAGCATCTGCAGTTTGTTTGTTCCATGAATTCAGCTTGACTATGGAAAGTTGGACGTCTGGAGATGCCATCCGGGAAAGTTAGATGCCTGGGGAGAGATGGAAACTAAGTTCCAAAATCTTGCACTGCAGTTTTGTAGAAGTCTTCTGTCCCTGTTTTATTCCTGGGCATTTGGGGATTTCTTTCTAATTTCCTTTACTGGTATTTCTGAGCTTATTGTACTGTTGGGAGCAATGATTGGTACGTTACTGCTGGTTCTGGTGCTTTCCATCCCTGATAGCACAGCGCTTTCATATCAGAAAAAGATATGTTCCCTCTTGACGTTTTCCCTTGGGATTTCATGGAAGTGTAGAAATCATGAAGGTTGAAGCTGGAGGGAAGAACTTAGACATCTCCTATGCCCAACATTCCTCTGCAGACACATTGTACTGTGAAACTCAACTGCTCTAACCTATTCCAAAATCCATCTTAAAACACCTCAACAGTTACCTTTCCTTGGGAAAGAGGCTTCTGTTTTTTTAACCTTGTACTCAAGGCCCTTGGGAATGTCTTTGGATGGCCTTTGCAAGTTGATTTTATTTATTATTTCAATTTCGAGGCTGCCCGACTCCACGGGAAATTTGGGCGGCTTACAATTTAAAATGTGGAAAGAAATGTAAAAGAAAAGAACATGTATCAGAGAAAAAAGAAGACAGCTGGCCAGAAGACAAAACAAAAATAAAATCAAAGGGGGTTAACCACCATCCTACCCCAAGGCTTGGGAGAACAACCACTTTTTAACTATTTGAGGAAAGTCAACTTATTGGTGGTGGTAGCAGAGAATGCTACTCCAGGTGGGGGTGTTTTCCTTCCTTGGTTGCCCAGGACTTTCCAATCTGAAAAATCCCCAAGGGAGGAATAATGAAGGTTCTCTGAGAATGAATGGAAGGTCAGGAAGAAAGCTTGCACTCTGCTGTAGAATGGGCTGGACATTCACACATACCTCTTGACTATTTCATTCATTAAAGAAGGGCAGGAACCATGCATTCCACTGGTGCAAATGTCTTTGAAATTCTATTTTCCCTTTAAAAAAAAATTCTGAAGCCAGTTCTCCATCCAGTTGACTGAGAAGAGGTAGAACAAAATATAGAAGTTTTCTGATAGAAAGCATGGCTTCTTTCACATATCTACATGCCCAGAAGTCATCACTACTCATTCTGGGCAGGAGTTAAGAGTAATTCTGGACTAAGCATAGTGCGAAATGTAGGTGGAACTGTTTCTACCCATAGGAGCATCCTGCCCTCTTCTCCCCTCCTGAAAATTTTAAAATAATTTCAAATGCCTACTTTCACATTGGAGTGTGAGAGATCATTGTTGTCAAAATGCACGGTCTTCCACACCTGCTTCCCTCTCAAATTAGACTCTTATTGACGCATTTGAGTTGAAGACCATGCTTGGTAGAGTCCAGGAAGGCACACCTCAATATTTTATAGCTGAAAACCTGCCAAGTTGCACAGGAAGACCAGCCAAAGGAGCAAGGGCACATAAATATTTAATTTTAAACCTTATTATGGTCTTTCACCAAAGATTTAATGTAATAAACAAAACCTAAAATGTTTTAGAATATTCACTTTTCTTCATATATTTGCAAAATTACCCGTGGCTTCAAGTCCTCATTTCCTTTTATGATGGTGACCTTCTGATGACATATTCTTCCACTGAGTAGCAAATTCTTGTCAGGGAATAAGATGACTTACAGCTTTCTGACAGTTGTAAGATAACTTACCTAAAATTCTTCAGGGCAATGAGGGAAATTCTGTAACAATGGCTGAAGCAACTGTCATCTCGTTAGAGAAAGAAACCCGACCAAAAACAAAATCATGCTCCATCAATTTAATCACCCTAATCCACATGGGTGTTACCTTTGCAATATGGGAATTTTGTGGGAGAAGCAGCCCTCCAAGATGGCAGAAGAGAAAGCAAGTTCTGGAAACATTCCAGTTGGAATAAGTAAGAGGAAATAGATACTTTGCAAGCACATAAATATTCATTGTCTAGGGCAGCCCTCAAGTTTTGTAGTTAATGAGGCTTTGCCCAAGGCGCCGATAGATTGGAGACCTTGAAATTCATGAATTGCACTTACAGCTGTTGGAAGCTGCCTCTGGAGCTCCAACAGGACTGTGTTGTGGAGCTGATTCCTCTCTTCCCTCCCAAGGTTGAACCTTAAATGAATGGCTTGATCTTCTGTTACTCAGTGGAGCAGGGTTTCTCAACCACAAGTCATGTCCCCAAGAGGGTTACAAGCAATTCAGAGGGGGGTTGCCATTT